ATACCCGAACTAAAGGCTATAGCCATATTAAAATGGCCCGGAGACGTTCGAGACCCGTAACAAAAAAACAAGGCCTCAATTTCATAACCGGTTCTAAAGGCTATTTTCAGCAAATTATAATCTAAAAAATCATAAGTACTTTGGAGAAAAATGTTTTTGGTTATACCGAACCCCCACGATGCCTTAAATAAAATAATGTTAAATGCAAGGCTTGTTCGAACCTCTGAACATGACCTAACTATTTTATGCTAAGGTATTTTGATCTTTGCAAACATAAAGAATAAAGCAAAGGAAAACAAAATTCTTAAACTGTCCAAGGGATAAACATGACTTGTATATTATATACAGTCTATACAAAGGCCAAACGGCCTTAACAAAAAATACTAAAGTACACAAGTACAAAAAACAAAAAAGCAAATGTTTTTTACAAAGGCACCTAAATAGCCTGGTTTTCCACCCCGGTCGGGTCCATCGGAACCCTCAGAGTCTTCTTCTTCTTCTTCTTCTTCTTCTTCTTCTTCTTCTTCTTCTTCTTCTTCTTCTTCTTCTTCTTCTTCTTCTTCTTCTTCTTCTTCTTCTTCTTCTTCTTCTTAGGCTAACTTCTTGGCCTCGGCCTCGATACCCTTAGCGGTTTCAATCTCGGCCGATAGATCGTAACCCCGTGCATGAATTTCCTCGAGGGCCTCTCTTCGCCACTACATCTTCTCATAATCAACAATGTCCTTCAAGCGGTCCTGGTCCGCCTCGACATCAGCATTATATTAGGCGAACATCTCGTCGGTATCTACTTTAACCACCACGGCTGCCGACTTGGTCGTTTCAAGCTCCTTGGCCATAATTTCTTGCTCAGAGGAGGCCGAGCTTAGCTGGGACTGGAGCTCTTCAACCTTTTTGGCCTGCACCTCGACCTTTTCTTTTGCCGCTTGAAGCTGGGCCTCAACCGAAGCTAGTTGCGCCCGAGCAGTCTCTTTTTCTGAGGCCAGGCGGTCCATGCCACCCCTCCATTCGTCGGTCTTGGCCTTGATAACATTCATTTCATCTCGCAGTTGATCGACCCTGTCGATATTTTGTTGGACCTGCGGATTTCAACCATTAGTCACCAAGTCTAGTTGATCATCACTAACCTCAAAGACTTTTACCTCTTCTACCAGAACGACATGTTCTTTCTGAGTCGCGTCCAACTCATCCCGAAGACTCTTGGCCTCTTCCTCGCGTTGCTCACTGAGAAGTTTATACATATCTCTCTTCTCAATAAGCACTTTGGCTTCATCCTCGAGGAGACTCATCTCTTCTTGATTATCGGAGGAAGGTCTCGTGGTGAAGTACCAAGGCCTGCGAGTACAAGGAAAATTATTGAGATCATTAAGTAACCAAAGCTGGAAAATGAAAAGGTTTGGTAACACCTTACCCGATACAATGCATGTTGTGCTTCATTGAACAAGCATGGAGATTTCAACTCGTTCATCTTTTCCTGGTCTTCTTTAGTCACCAGGCAGCAGAGGTAACTAGCTATCCCAACAGGCGTGGAAAGGACCCGAGCGTCCCCCAGAACAGAGATAATGATCGACCACTTTCGTCCGAGATCGACACTTGGGGCAGGGAATTAATTGACCAATCTCGGGCTCAAGCTAGACCCACTTGTCCCAGAGGGCAGACTTCTTCTTGGTACTTCTAAATCACCCAATCCAGTGACATCCTCCGTGGCAATAGAGTCCACACCATTAAAAAAGCTTGGGGGGGGGGAGAGTTTGCTCCTTGGACCTCCCTCATTTGAACGCTCCTTTGCCGCTTGAGCTTCACCAAACATTGAGTCTGTGAACGAAGTCGATCCTGTTATATGGATGTCACCGGGTGGAGCAGAACTGGTGTCTTGAGAGTTCTCGACCTTAACGGATACATCAACCTCTTGAGTTTGGGAGGGATTGGCCTCTATCATTCCCCCTTCAGTTGTTGCCCGTTCTTCAGTGACCGATGGCTCCCGGGCCACTAAAATTTCATCCTCTTCAGACTCGTCCCTGAGCTGATAGAGGGAGTCCGAATCAAGTATTCGGGAGTTGGAGGTTTCTTTTGGCTTGCGGATCAGCCTCCTCCTTGGTTTCGTTTTCTCCGAGCTCGGAGAACTTGAATCTCTTCTTCTCTTCACCCTGTTTCGGAGTAGTGGACTCATGGGGAAGTCGTCACTACCGGAGGTGGGCCTCATTTGGACATCCTTGGGTAAACCTGCAAAAAGAAATAAAACAAGTAAGGACTTAATCATGTAAAATAGAAACCAATTATTACTCATGAAAGAGATCTCACAGTGCGAATGGGCCTCTCATCGGCCCTTTGAAAGCTTGCGGCACGAGCGCTCGGAATAAGGCCTTTGTGATACGATGCCCTCTACCCACTCCTTGTGTTGAGGAATTATGTTCGGGATCCGAACAACACCTGCACCATCATAGAACACCTGTAAGAAGAAAGGAAAAGTGCGATAAATAAAATCTTGGAAGCAAACTTATATACTTACGTGACATGTTCCACTTCTCAGGGAACGACATGTGCTCGGCCAGGATCAAGTCCGAGGTCCTCACTCACACGAAATGCCCTAGAAAACCTTGATCCTTATCTTCATCGATACTCGAGAATGTGGCCTTACTGGCCCGACAGGCGAACTTGATCAGTCCCCCCGGTAGAGTCAGGGACTGTATAAATGCATGAGGTGGTCGATAGTGAAAGGGTACCCTTCGATCTTGCTTACGAAGAAACAGAGGAGGACTACGATCCTCTAGAAAGAAGTGTGAATTTGACCAAGGTTTACGTCGTATATTTTGCAAAATTCGACGATAACCGGGTCCAAGGGGCCCAACGTGAAGGGATAAGTGTAAATACTTAAAAATCCCTCGACTTGGGTGGTGATGGCTTCGTCCGGTTCGGGAACCACCACATGTTTTTCATCCCAATTACAATCCATTTTGACTTCGGAGAGAATATCCTTGTTGATCGAGCAGATGTACCTCGAGACATCCTCACACCGGCTTGGTACGGAGAAGGGTTTTTCGACTTTAAAATCAGCATTGACCGGGCACCCCATCCCGGATAAAATTTTTTAGAAGAGTTTCCGGTGCGGGTTCCTCGACAGTAGTACGTGAAGCGGTCTCTTCGATAGCCGACCACGAGGTAGAAGAAGTTTCTTTTTGGGGAACGATTTTGGAAGTTTTTGCCATTTCTTTATGGAGAGGAAATAAGGAAAAAGAGGAAGTTATAAGAGTATACTCGATGATTTGAGATAAAGACGAATGAGAGTTCTTTTAAAAGATCTCAAAGTAACCAGAATATAAGTGTTTGAAAGTGTTGAAATTTCTTAGGAATGGGGGCAGAAAGTTTGAATGAAATAATGAGGGGGTATTTATAGTTTTTTAGCGACGGTTCACATCTAGGAGTGGCTGACCAGCAACTTACAAGCTTTTAATGCCATTAAGACTTGACTGACGAGACGTTTCGACTGTTTTGTTGTTTCTGTCACGGGGTATCGAAGTCAGGATCAGAAGCTCATGTCGTTTCTTGTCATCTACTCTCCGAAAAATAAGGGGACTATCTGTACACAATCAAAATCAAGCTCACTTACTACATGGTAGGTTAGGCTCGGAACATGACAACCAAGGGCTGAAGATCAATCTCGCGAGCATCGAGTCCCACCGAGCTAGGACCCGGGGTCAGAACGCTTGCCTTCGAGAACATCGAGTCCGTGATCTCAAAGTCGACCTTAGCCCCGATTGAGCTCGAAGAAAAATTGTTAGCATGACCAACAAAAGACCAAAATATCCGTGATTGGTCGAATATTACGGCGGAAATCTCGGGGCTTATAAGTAAGGAACCAACAATCAACTAATCAAGAGATTTTTACCTTTTATAAAATTGTACCTAAAATAGAATTCCTCTACTATATAAAGGGGGCCTGGTAATTCATTGGCGATATTATAACATGCATCCCAAAGCAATACATTGTTATTATTTCTCTTTAAGCTCTTGTTCTTCTGTATCCTCACACTAATTGAAGCGTACCTGGCTCGAGGGTGGCTTCCAAGGCTGATATTATTCAATTCGTGTGGTTTGCATATACTTTGTCATTATTTATTTCAATTGCGATCTAATTTATCATTTTGTATCAAGTTAGTTCACGTATCCTTAAAACCACTTACAAATTCAATTGTTATCCCATTTTGAGGATAAATATAACCCTTCCTCGGACCCTACATGAATGCGGTATGCCTTGTGCACCGAGTTGCTCTTATATTTTAATTTTCTTTAGTGAATGTTCTGATGCCATCACTAGTATCAACAACTACCGATTCTACTAGCTCTAAGTGGAAATTAATCCACTACTAGAGAAGCACTAACTTGAGGTTCCCTTTTCCTTTTCCAAATTACTCTACTCCACTTAAAATCAAAACCAATACCAAAACAACCACTTCCTACGTGATTAAATATATCCACACGAGGCTACATCTTTGTAGGGATTAGGGGTGTACATGAGTCGGGTTGATTCATAATTTTTAATTACCAAACCAAACCAATTGTATCAGGTTATTAAATTTAAATACCAAACCAAACCAATAAAAGTCGGGTTTTTTAATCTCGGTTTTTCTATGGTTTTTCTAGGGTTTTTCGAGTTTGTTTTCCATAAAGTCTTCATAGTATAAAACGTAAAATTTGGGCTCCAAATATTTCTTTAATCCTAGTAAGAGAGAACTATGTAAGATATTTTTCAATAAAATAACATAAATATGAGATGAGTCATGGCATTATACTAAAATATTCAACAATAAATATAATAAAATCGCATAAAATAAATATTATTAATAAGCCATAATGAAAACAAACGTAATTTAAAATTATGACTAATAAGTACTATTATTTATATGACTAACCACTAAAAGAAAAATAAGTTATACATTTTACCAATTATATTTTGCAAAAATACTTTTTGAATAAAAGTATTTTTCTAAATAAACCGTGTTTGATAGTTTGGCCAAACAAACTCTTAAGCAAATGCAATGCGGAGAAAATTATCCCCGTTGAATACAAAAGAATATGATCTACGTGCTTATTACAAAAATTGATATACTCCACCTATATATGAGCTACGAGCTATCAAACAGAATAACTCCACAAGGACACCTCAACATCACTTTCCATATCATCATCCCAGCTGAAACAACTCCCTAAACAGCAAGGATTTGGTGATAACAAACTCCTTTCTTCCATGTATGCCTGCCATTCTTGCGTCCCTAGCATTCCCACTTCACTGCATGAGTTGCTATACAAAACATTTTCTGCAGTCACAATATTCTGCGTGCAATTATACGCTGCGTTCTCTTCTTGTGATGCCACCTTCATTTCCTCATTGCCATTGCCAGTATTAGCGGCTCCTCTAGAATTAACATCAGCTTCCTCTCCTGGCCAGAACGCCTCTGCTGCTTTTGCAGCTGCTTGGCGCAAGTCCTTGGGATCCTTTGATGCCGGCACTTGCAACCGCCAAGCGGAGTCTGCGAAGTTTAAAGTGGCCAGCTGTCCTCTAAGTGCCAATGCAGCTACGTCATGAGCGCGCGCAGCCATTTCTGCGGTTGGGTAACTTCCCAACCATATTCGCTTCTGTTTGCTGGGCTCGCGCAGTTCGCAAACCCACTTGTCGTTGTTCCTCCTTCTCACTCCCCTGTACACTGGGTGCCGAGTTTCTTTGAACTTCTTCCTTCCCGCTCGCTTCTTGGGTTTCCTCAACGCTAATATATTGATATGTTCTTCATCGGAAACTGCCACTCTAATTGAAGTGCTTGAATTATTCATTACTTAATAAGGCGCCAAATTGTTGAGTTTCTTGTAATTATTTGTGGTATGTGCTAAGTACTGCTGAAAGTTTTAGGGTGTACGTTAAATCTAAAGTGTTTTTATAGATTTGGATTATGAGGAGAGAAGAAGGAAATCACGTGAATACATGGACACGCACACGGAAGTGAGTGAGCATGTGAAACGAACTGAAAAATGTTTTATTCGTTGTGGGGCCTGCTTGACTGTTTCAATAAATGGATCTTTACGGATTAAAACATACTTCTGGGGTTTTAGCCCACGTTGCAGTGATTGGATATAGTAGAAGAATGAGTCTTCTTATTGTTTCTAATTTGGTTCGAGGAAATCAAGGTTTGGTCCACGTGTGGAACATATTTATGTAAACACTAGTTTAAAATGATAAAAATGGTCCCAAATGTATGTGCTTTGGATTCATTTGGTCCTCATAAATAACACCTAAGGAAAATGTCCTTAATATATCATAAAAGCTTATCATTTTGGTTTTTAGCCCACGTTGCAGTGATTGGATATAGTAGAAGAATGAGTCTTCTTATTGTTTCTAATTTGGTTCGAGGAAATCAAGGTTTGGTCCACGTGTGGAACACATATATGTAAACACTAGTTTAAAATGATCAAAATGGTCCCAAATGTATGTGCTTTGGATTCATTTGGTCCTCATATATAACACGAACTGGTCCTTAATATATCATAAAAGCTTATCATTTTGGTTTTTAGCCCTAAAAAGTGATGACATCCAATAATAATCTGTCAAAATGAACGGAAGCTTCATGTGCAACCAACGTGAGTACAAAAAAGCCCCTTCTTGTCTGACTTTATTTTCTTTCATCTTCTTCTTCCCTTTTTATTTATTTTTATCTTCCTTCTATATTGGATATATTGTTGGAAGCTTATATGCTCCTTGTTCTTTTGTATTCTCGTGAATAGCATTGAAAGACGATATATAGAAACAGTTGACTCCTGTAGTAAATTAATACTCAAGATCTATTGAAAACAATTGCACATGTTTATTTTGACCGAAACTTCGACGATGTTTTATAATGTAACTTCTTTTAATTGTTGAGCACAAATACGAGGGAGCCAACATTTTTCAGTAGTGCAAAGTCGTTGTAATACAGTATATGATAGTCATCAATCAGGATATGTAAGTCTATTTGTTTATGGCGTAAAGTGTAAACAAGAGTAGAACACATGTATTTTTTTGATACGTTATCATGGATTCCTATAGTGACTCTATTGGGCTCGTGCATAGTACGGGCAGCCCTCATATAGTATATTTTATAATCAAAATCTGGAAGAGAATTTGTTTTTCATATTTTCAGTACACTATAATGCCTCAGCAACGTCAACAAATAATTTGAGCTTCTGGGACTCCATTTCGTATATTTATTTCCTTGTATTTTGATTTTAAGCAACGGTAAAGTTGGGGAAGCAGCCACGCACTAGGGTAAGTTGTTTGTGGTCTATATCACATTCTTTGGATGCAACTCTTTCTCGGACCCTACATAAATACGGTATGTCTTATGCATCAAGTTGCTCTTATTTTTAATTTCCCACCGTCACTTGTATTAAGCACTACTGATTCTGCTAGCTCTAAATGGAAATTAGCTTGATCCACTACTAGCGACGCACTAACTTGACGTTCCCTTTCTTTTTTCCTTTTACAAATTTCTCTACTCCACTTAAAATCAAAACCAACACCAAAACAAGCACTTCCTGCATGAATAAATATATCCACACGAGGTCACTTGAGATATATACTATTAACCATGTATTTAGAGGCGTATCTATGATAGGAAACAAGGAGCACGTGCACCCATTCTCTTGCCAAGTAAAAGCAGATTTTTCTGTATAAATTTTCAATGGTTTAGCCATATAGAGTAGATGGTACCCATGCTCAAATTTTGGTATTGGTGCCTCCCGTCGAGACCCCATGGACACACATTAATATAATACCATGTATTTAGTTTGTATTTCGGAGCTCTTTTTTTGTTTTAATTCTATTTTTATTCCCTTCTTATTATGTTTTCTTTTTTATCTCCTCCAAATTTTCATGATAAACAATAACTTAAGGAGTCAGAGATTAAACTATGGATTACTTCCATTAATCTTTGTCTTTATCTTGAACCACTATAAATTAGTTTTATTATAAATAATGTATGTGACAATAAGATTTAAGTTCATGATGAGACTTGCTTAAATATTTTTATTCCAAATTATTGCTTAAACATATTTGAATTCCAACATATGCTCTAGAAGAGTTTTGATATTTTCATGCTTCTTTTGGCCACAAAATTTGCATAAGTCTCAATTTTTATAGTATTAAATTTTCATTAGCATTCTACTTTTCCTTTTTATTTTGAATTTTATGTTAAGACAAATATTATGTAATGATTGTCAGATTATAATTAATAATATTAATGACAAACACAAATTTAGATTAGCAAGATTATTGTTTATCTCTTTTAATAATATGCAAAATTATTAATGTCATAAAACACTAAAAAAAAATTACATCTCTTGATATCATGACAAATATCGTGGTGCACCCATGGTCTTAAAATCCTGGATCCGCCTCTGCATGGATTTGGTTTGGAAATAGTATTTATTGTGAAAAAATTGTGTATTCAATTTTAATAAAATTTTAAATAGATCATATATTCCTCTGTGTCCTTTACTTATATAGCTGATGATTTAGTGTATAGACTTTAGCTTATACACGGAAGATTAAATCATCGATTCTTTTAAATATAAAGATTATGTTCACAATCTAATGATGAAATTGGACAAACCATCACGAATGATTGTAGCACAAGATTAAATATAATTTATCTTGATTATGGGAATGGTTTAATTCCTACTTCTTGTGCTAGTACATTTTGTATGTATTGAACGGACCAAGTAGAGATAAGTATTTTATAATAACATAATAAAATAACATCTCTAGCCACTAAACGTACTTATACTCTTAATCTTGATATATTTATTATTAGTTTTGTATATTATTTATTGTTTTAATTTATTAAAAAGATTCTTTTGTGGATCAATATGCTTAGTAAATTCAATAATGATATACATTGGTGAAGTAATTGTTAGTTGATCGAATCCATGTCTCGGTCTAGAGATTGATAATACACATTTATGAAAGCTTATAAGTTTTTATGTATAAACCTTGCAGGTGAATTTTGTATCAGTCACATGAAATAAGTTAAGCGAAAGTCTAAAAGAAATAATCAATGAATTAAATTGTCAGTAATTTATTTATTTGATTAGTATCTGAATCTTAACATGGGGAGTTAAATAAGGTTTAATGGAAGAATTTCGAAATTGAACTGAGGAGTGTAGTTTCGAATTTTTAGTGAAATAATTCATAATTTATTATGGTAGCATTAATTCAGATATTTCAAATTAAGTCCATAATAGGAAGCCTCGTTAATTAAATTTTGTGGTCCCTGCCGTATCCGAATAATTAGAAATAAAATGGAATCATATTTTTTAGTGGTAAAGGAAGACTCATGTCACGACCCAAAATTCTAACCTGTCGTGATGGCGCCTATCTCAATACTAGGGAAGCCGACAACTTCAATAAGCCACATTTTCTCTTAAGTTTGAAATCATAACATTTGAATTTCCATAGAAAAATCTCACAAATTACTGACATAAGATATATTCCCAAAATCCGATGTCACTGAGTACATGAGCATCTAAATGATAACAATGTCTGGCTGATAAAAAAATACTGTCTGAAAAATGTAGAACAGTACAACAACTGAACAGAAGAGCGTCAAGGTCTGCAGATGCCAAGAAGCTACCTCGATAGTCTCCACAGATAAAGCTCCGAAAATCTAGCAACTGCCATGTTTGGAGGTACCTAGATCTGCACACGAGGTGCAGGGTGTAGTATGAGTACAACTAACTCAGCAAGTAACAATACTAAATAAAGAGCTGAAGATAGTGACGAGCTTCACAGCTGAGTCCAATTACATTAATTTCCAACATAAGATTTAGGGCATGCTTTCATGTTCAACATTTAACACTCAACAGTAATTTCATATCAAGTTCGACTAAAAAAAAGAAGATAATATCTTTCAGAAATTTCCAACACAGTAATATATGACAACTGTAGTGCAATAAGAATGAAATCATATGCATCCTCTTAGGGCCACAGTCACTCAGCACTCAACACTCGCACTTAGTAGGCACCTGCGCTCACTGGGGGTGTGTACAGACTCCGGAGGGGCTCCTTCAGTCCAAGAGTTATAATCTGCATGGACAACTCATGTGCTGTACAGATAACTCACGTGCTATAGTATCAATATCTAGATCCGTACGGATAACTCATGTACTGCACGGACAACTCACGTGCTATAATATAATATCTGAATTCGCACGAACAACTCACATGCTATAATATAATATCTGGATCCGCACGGATAACTCACGTGCTATAATATAATATCTAGATCTGCACGGACAACTCACGTGCTATAGTATAATATCTCACAATCAGGCCCTCGGCCTCAGTCAGTCATAAATCTCTCTAGTCTCCTAGGCTCTCAATAATCATGAAAAATCAGCCCAAACAACAATGATATGATGTATCAATAATGAACTATAGAGACTGAGATAAAATAAAAAGTAAACTGTGACTGAGTACAAAATAACAATTTAGCAGATAATTCAATATGTACTCGACCTTTGTCTGTCCCTACAGTGCCAACACATAATCTAAACATGATTTGTGGTTTAATTTCTATACTACATGGAGAATGTACAAATAACAACAAATTATTCGATTGCACAGTTCCATGGAATTTGACCAAGTCACAATTCCTACGGTGCACACCCACACGCCCATCACCTAGCATGTGCGTCACCTCAAAACCAATCACATATCGCAAGCTCCGGGGTTTCATACCCTCAGGACCAAATTTAGAACTATTACTTACCTCAATCCGAGCAATTCTTTATTCCAATAAGCCTTTTCCTCGCGATTCGGCCTCTGAACGCCTCGAATCTTAGTCAAAATAATTCGATACAAT